CTAGCGCAGATAGCCCTCGTGTAGCTTTGCGCGAAATTAAAAAACAAAACAAACAAACAAACTACTTGGCTCCCGTTTATTTTTAAAAAAATCTTAATATAGATTACTTTTAGGCTTTTTAGAATACTGAATGGTCGTTAACCCCCAAGACACTCCCCCCCTCCCCGCTACTAGTATTTACTATTTAACTAGTTTTTTTAAACTCTTTTGTAATTCCATTACATTATATTCATCTTTTTCATATTTGATATAAAAAATTAACCAAATGGTTTATAACAATATGTAAAATGATCGAAATTTATATGTATATATATAAAGTGTTTGTGAAAATACAACAGCGAAAACTTATTTAAGGACTTCTAGTTGATTTTCCAATATTTTTTGACGATTTTAAAAGCCCTCGAACAGAAACCGCAAGATCGCTATGGTGGAAATACTGACGTAATTTAATGCAGTACGTAGGTAAATATATATTTCCGCTACTACTACTACTAGTAAATTAGGAGTGTTGGATCCAAATTAACTGGTGTGAAGCATGATTTAATTTTTTTCAAACTAAAGTAGATAAATAATTTGAATAAATTTCATGTAATAATCTCAATAACAAAATCAGGATTAATTAAATTGAATTAGGCCCTAATTTACACTAGAGTTAAATCTAGGCTGGACTCTCACTCTCGTAGGTAGATGTTGTCCTTGGGCTAGTATTACTACTACTACTACTATTTAAAGTTTTAAACTAATTTAAAGTTAAACTTTAAGTTTTACTAATAGTATTGTAAGCTGTAAAGCTGCTGTCTTTCTGTTGTAGCTAACACAACTTAAACAGAAAAAAAGTTTAAAATCTAATATTAGTTTTATCATAAATATTTTTGTTTTCACAGATTCTAGGAAATTTCTGTGTTAATAATAGTTACATTACTTTTAATGAACTAGTATGTAAATAAACGGTGGGAATTCCAATCGGAGCAAACTTCAAATATGGCTAATTTGTATTTGTTTTTCTTTATGGAAATTCATTCATGAAACAGGTTTCAAATTCTAAATCATATACATATTTGAATTTCGTTACATAGACGATTTAATTGCTATAAATTATCAGAACTTTACACCAAGCTTTATATAAAAAAAAAAACTTGTAATAGAAAAAAGTAATACCGATCACTTATATGCTAACTATTTACATTTGGATATTACGTTAGTAAATAACAAAGTACAGTTGACTATTTTTGATAAGAGAATGATATTAAATTTTCCCATTCTTGGTTTTGTCAAAACATTGTACATTTGCTGTTTTGTTAAACTTATATTGAAGTTTTTCCTCATTACCCATTCAAGCCGTCTCCAAGCATTATTAGTCTCTAAGTGGGTTCCTCGTCATCGAAAGAGTTGAGACGTTGTGGGTATAAGCACTCAACTCCACACCCTTATTTAATTTTCCATGACTGCTAACTAGTTTTTAATATTTGTTTGGATTTTTTATGATAGATGGGATATCCCCAGCACTTTTGAGTCCTATCACCACAGAGAATTTCCGTTATGACTTTAAGGTTACAACTGGAAAATTGCAATGGAGTTTTAAAATAAAAATAATTTTAAGGCTTAATTTATATATATATATATATATATATATATAA